ACACCCACCCCATTCTCAGCCCGCGGCCCCACCCTCCATCCCACTCTCCCTTCCTCCCTCTGTGCACCCATCATTACCTGGGGTGCGTAGAGTTTGTCGAGAGTGGGCCGTAGTTCCTCATACGCAGTGCGGCCTTGTGTGCTGAGCATGCTCTGGGCCACCTGCAAGCGACTGACGAGGACGCGCTGCCAGGAGATGAAGCGGATCAGTTTGTCCAGGGCCTGAATCGCAGTTGGCGTGGTTGTGTTGGCTGAGGCCTCAAGGATCTGTATGGCGCCGTCCAGGTCCATCGAAGGAGAGGGGACCTGAGGCTGCTGGAGGGATCTGCAGGAAGTGGCGATGGCCTTGTTGTTGATCTCTATCATGTGGCTGGTGAGCGCAGCCAGCTGCGGGCCCGTCAGATGGTCATGAGCGAATTCAAGGGGCAAACCTGCGAACACACACGGACAGCAATGCGGCTGCGTGAGGGTGTTCTGTCGACGAGTACCCTTATTGCCACAGGGACCGTAAAGGAACGCCATGGTGGGTCCGCCGGACACTATGCAGCCTATGCAGCCTATGCAGCCTATGCAGACTAGACACGTCACATATCCACACGAGGCGGGCGCCAGCGTAGATCTCGTCGCTGCAGACAGAAGCCAATGGATGTGGTGCTGATAGAATCAAGGGATCGGTCAAGGGATCGGGATTTAGCCTTCTTGAGCACCAGGCGCAAATGAGTTTACATCCTCCGTCTGGGGGCGTCTCTTGGGGAAGCGTCTCCTGCACGCGTGACAAGGGATGGATGGATGGATGGATGGATGGCCGCGGAGAAGCGGACGGCTACAGCCTGACTGGCCGCAACGGGGACTCCTGCCTGAAGGTTGCTGTCCCTGATCTGTCCCACTATCTCCAAGGGGTTGCGCAACGTCCTGACACACCGAGCTGGGCTGCCTGATGACCAACATCGACAGCGAGGTGACCCGGCTGATCCAGCTGCGATGCGCGGCGGCCGTGCAGCGTGCAGACACACAGAGGGCTGAGCAGGAGAGGGAGGACGCTTGCATGGCCTGCCTGTCGGAGTCACGCGCAGTGGTCTTGCCATATGGTGAGGGAGGGAGGCAGGGAGGGAGGAAGACCTGTGTGCGTGTGTTATGTGTATTCTGTATATATGTGTCATTAGGGTGCAAGTGCTACTGCGCGTCGTGTCATGCGCGCATCCTGGCGGGTCGTGGCGCAACTGGCGATGATGAAGAGGACGAGCCAGAGCCCACATCAAAGTGCCCATTCTGCTCAAAGCCGTTCTGAGCACAAAGGGCCTGAGTCGATACACACATAGACGGACTGGCGGGCATGGTAGTGAGGAGATCGGTTGTCATATTGCTGGTGGTCAATCGGTCGGTTAGAGGTATGTATATTCACTTCTGGGCGTGATGGATTCGCGTCTCGTATGGATGGATGGATGGAACGAACTCTTGTCTGTACAGTCAATGCCGCGTGCCATCGCAGGTCACTCATACGTTGGTTGCACGCATAGCATGAAGCCCCGGGAGACGATGGTCGTTGATTCATTGATTCATTCATTCACTGACATGTCCACATATCGACATGCACCCCGTCCTCACCCCGTCCTCTCACTTCCCCCCCTACACGCTCACAGACCCTAGTTAGTGTAGCCCTATCTATCGCCCCACAAACCGCTGGTCTGTGACTGTGGCTGTGCACCGTTGCAAGGCCGCGGCTCACTTGCCGCGGCCTGCAAAGGTTCACGGCCCTGATCACAGGTCAACGGGGGACGACAATTGAAATATCGCTGCTTTATGCATTCCATCGAGGGGCCATCCATCATTCGACAAACAGCACACGCTACTCTCGTATCGACATGCACTCACTGAGCCCTCCCCACTTACTCACACCAGATCGGCACAAACCTCTGCCCCTCCCACCTGGCGCCGCATCGCTTGACTACCCCCAGATGCCCCCACGCAAAGGGCACTACACTACAGCCCTTCACCACCCGCAGGCCAAACCGCCTGCCCTCCTCCCGCATCGCACGCTGCACGATGTCATCCAGACACACCCGCCGACCACTCACACTGCCGACCACAAAGCACTCCCTCGCCAGCTGGTCCACCTGGCCCTCGTCAGCTATGACGTCGAGCGAGGCAGCCGAACCGACGAAATAGCTGACGATGGGGTTTAGGCGACGCGCCAGAGGGCACTCGCCGTCTTGCACAGGGAAGTGCAGATCGACCGGCCGCGAGTCGACGAGAAAGGATGCGATCCGCCAGGCGAGAACGGGATCATTGATGGGGAAGGGGGGTGGGGGCGAGCCAGGGTCGGCAGGGAGGGGGCTGTCGAGGCTCTCGAGCACCCGTGCGATCGATCGAGCTGAGAGCAGCGCATCGTTGATGGTCTCCTTGACGAGAGGTGCCAGCTCCGTGTCGAGAAACCTCCGATATGCACTGCACATGCGGGATACCCCCTCGCTGTGATAGGGGTGGGGGATGAGGTCGGGGGAGTCCCTCAAAGTTGGCACTGCCCCATACTTCATCATCGTCCGCAGCATCCCATCGTCGATATGGTACACGTTGCGAGCCGCCAGCTTGAGCGGGGTCGACCGCCGCCCATCCCGATCGTTGATCCGAGCAGCGCCTCCACGCTCGCACAGCCATGGAATCGTCGCCTTGTCGCTGCGAACTGCCTCAGCAGCACAGTGGAGGGGGCTGGACTCATGGTTGTCTTTGGCATCGACGACACGGCCGCCCCCCGTGCTGTACAGCAGCTCCAACAGCCGCCCCTGACACGACGCATCGCCCAACGGCCGTCTGCAGAACAGATGGATGGGCTGTCGCTGCCTCTCGTCCAACTCGGTCACGAGGGCGGGCTCCATGCCGACCAGCCTCTCAGCCATCTGCAGCTTCTCGGTATCGTCACCGTGGCCGAGGGCGACTTGATGCAGCAGCCTCTGACCCCCGAGGACGTGCCTTGCCGAGTAGTCGAGCAACACATTCGCCATGGAATAGTTGCCCTGACGACACCAGACAACCAGCAAATCGGCACATGACCTTCAATGATGAAACACCGCCTCTCTGCATACATACCTGTACAAGCGCCAGCTGCAGCGGGCTGCCTCGGTCAGGATCCGAGCCGCCAGCGAGGAGTGCCCTCGTCACGCCGGCCATGTGTGGTTTCTCCTCGTGATACTTGACGGCCAGCATCACCAGCGTCATGTGCTCCGGTTGCTCCCGGCTGTGAGGCTCGCGGACACTCACAACGGTCGTGGCATCGGCTCCCTGGCTGACCAGCCGCCTGGCACCAGCTTCATCTACGTCACCAGATGCGACGCCAGAAATCAGCTGCCGTGTGGCGGTGGGCACGTTCGATGGAATGGCGACGATGATCTGATGCTGCCCGCCATAGAGACCGAAAGCCACCTCGTTTGTGCGCCCAATGCCTCTTGGAGGGACTTGACGCTGCCCAGACCTGACAATGCAATCGGAGAGGAGACAATCGAGCGCAGGCGGCATGGGTGAGCCCCTTCTTGCCTTTGTTTTTCTCTGACCATTTCTGGAATCGTTGTGCTGCTGGGCTGCCCGCCTCACGCAGCAACAAGGCAAGCAGGTCAGGGATGTCCATCAAGGGCCACTTCCATCACGCTCGGAGGGCTTCGTGATGCCTTTCCTGCGTTTCTCCCAGGTGAGGGATTGGCTTCCAGCTCGCACTTCGAAGGCTGCTTTCAGGAACGACGACATTCGTCGCATGCATTCCTCTTTCTCTGCTGTCCTTTCAGTCATGAGTTGCCCGCCATCATCGGACCCGACGTCCTTGCGGATTTCGCAGCTGACGGACACCGGGGCGCACAGGTGAGGTGCATAGCAAACGAACAGAATGGACCGCGGGGCGGTCATACAGTCACTGGATGGCTTCCATTTCCGTGTCATCTCACCGCAGGTGCAAGGGGAGGGCCTCCCAAACATGCCACATGCACACCCATCGGTGCATCCATCATGGTGTGGAAACTGGACAATCGTGCACGCACACGACAATCTCCAAGTTGAGCATGTGCGTGTCCATGCTCGTGCAGGCTAATTCAGTGGACACAAGAGTCAGAATGAGCGGCTATCCAGGTACAGCAGAGCACACAGCACCTACACCTACAGCCCTTTGTGTCTGTTTTATCAGAGGCGTGCGGCCTGTGAGAGTGTTGTTCAGACGGATGTGATGAGCTGTGGTGACTCAGAGTGACATACTGGCTATGGAGGAGAGAAGATTCGATGTGCGAGGACGGATAGGTCTTGTTGGTGCCTGTGGCTTTCTTCCTGGTGGCTTGTCATCGATGTGATGTGACCCATTCGATTGAGTCAGCGTAGCCTCACCGCAATGGGTACACACTACCGTACACACAGAAGTAACGACCGACAGCCAGCTTTCATTCCATCCATCGCATGCAGTTCAAATGGGTGTACGGCACGCTCATGGCGACTGATGTCACTGCTCTCACTGCTCTTTCGTCGTGGCTTCGGTGGCTAGCCTATCTGCCTGGCGCCCGGCCATGCCATCGCTGTGTTCCAGGTGTTGGAGTAGACAGGATCGGTGCTTTGCATGGGATGTCTGGACTGTCGATGTCAGTGTGAGTGAGGAGGTGCGTTTGTCGAGACGATGCAGCTCGTGAAGAGCTCCACCGAATGCCAAGGAAGGTGAAAACCATCACCATAGACACACATGCAAAACATGGCATCGGAATCGTCCATTGGATGCAAGTCAACAAGACACCCAAGTCGTTTCGGTCCACAGAGCCAGTTGTTCAAGTGGTTTGGCTTCGATCGTTCGCCATCAATGAGTGAAATGAGGCCCTGTGCACCGAACAGCCACTGCGGCATCATTTCACCGCCTGAAAAGTGAAAAGATCCCCCGAAGTGAGCGGATTTCGCGCAATCTGAGTCGTCTGGCTAACCTTTTGACCTTGGTCTGCCTTCTATGGCCTTCTCTTGTCCGCAGAAAGCGAAATGCACGTGCGGCGAGATTCTTCGCGAGGAGACGGCGACAAACCCGCAAACCCTGATTTGCGAATGAGAGACAGTTTTCCACAATTTCCGTCCGCGGTCGGCTTGCCAGCCTCATTTCACCCACAGATCCTTCATTTCTCTTCCCTTTGAGCTGGTTTTCGGCTTGTGTGGTCCGCCTCACTCTGTTCCACCACTCCCAACTTGTCCGGATCTCATCCGCCACTTCCTTCCTCCACCGCCGTGCCCCGGGCGAGGCCTCGCCCGATAGTGCCCTGCCTTGTGTGAACCGGCCGGCGACTGCCTGGTGAGTTCCTGGCGTCAGCGTAGTGCGCGCGCCTTGCTTCTCCGTCAAACGACCTCCACCAGGTGAGCGCATAAGAGTTTGCCTTCTCGCGTCATGCCTCATGGCTGTGGTGATGGCGTGTCGTATGGATGATCAGTGGAGATTAATGCATGGTGTGCTTCGATGCAGTGTGTGTTCTCATACGCCTCCCTTCGTCATATCTGTCCCTTTTTTAAGAGGTCTTTGAGGAGGGGGTTGTTCAGGACACGGCAGACGAGGAAGAGGAGGGGGCCAGCGAGGAGACGCCCTTCCAGCGGGCGTGGAGGGAGACTTTTGAGAGAAACCAACGGCGCGAGCGGCTCAGACAGCAGGTCAGCTGCACCCACAATGCCCCATTCGATTGGAAGCTCTCAACTTTCTAATGGTGTCCTGGTTGGCT